AGAAACTTTACAATGAGCAAGAAATTCCTGTAAGTACTGAGTTTGGGGAAACAGAATGGTTCAAAATACAAAGGGAATGAGATAAAGATACATATTGTCCCTGTATGTGTTTATCTTATACAGCTAATATCAGGGGTGGCACTAGCCTAGGGTGCCAAAGCATAGGAGGCACCAGTGCCACCTCTCCTCCCAAATCATTGTAAAAATGCAAATCTTTGCATCAGTTGGAGATGGCCCCAATGTAGCTTAGGAGCACCATATATACCCTTGAGGCAGCACAACTAATATAAGATTGGAAGAGATGACAGCTGGAATCAAAACTGGAGGTCAAAGCACTAAGAAATTCTGATATGCATATGATACTATGTTATTCGAAAGTAAAGAATACCCCATTAGGGAACAAACAAATGGGAAATGAAAGATCTGGATTAATGTTAAACATTTATAAGACAAAAGAAACATCAACCTGCATAGGCAATAAACGTGCTGTTGATGATCTGAAAGTGGTAACCACATGGTTTTGTTTTCCTGGGTACCAAAATTGGGATTAGCAGTGTGCTGGAGAAATAAAGAGGTAGAAGGGATGAAGACCATGTCAGACAAAACCATGAAAGAGAAGGATATTTCTACAACAGCTAGGATCACTACGGTTCAAGCAGTGGTCTTCCCAACGTGAAAACAGGTCTTTGGAAAGGGTGATAAGAAGACGATGGACATCTTGGCATTTTGGATTTGGGGCTATTTTCTAAGAATACTATGGACTTCAACAGAAAGCTTGACTAGGAAAAAGCTCCAGGAGCAACTTGCAGCCTGCAGCTGCAGCATTTTAAAAGCTTATGAGAAAACTGATTTAAAACAAGGCACACCGTTTTGTCTTGGGTCCGTAATAGCCAAGGCAAAGGAAGCGTCCTTTTCTATTTTTTTTTCCAATTTTGCAAGCAAAAACAATTGCCCACTATAAACTGTGCGTGTTTGCACATTCACATATGCATTTGTTGGGAAGTTCATAAGAAAAGGAGATTTCCCCATCTTATTCCAAAAAACAACAACTTTGGAGTGAGCCGTTGCTTGCATTTGTTCATTGGCTCAAGACTATTAAAGAACAAAGGACAGGACAAGGCAGGAAAAGATGTCCTCACTTTAAAAAACAAGATATTGTTTTGTCTTCTGGCTGCAATTCAAAAGCAGTTCATCTACAAAAAGATGGCTTTCCTTTTTTGTTTTTGTTTCTTTACATGAATGAAACAATTTTAGTTTAGAAAGTTGTGAAGTCTTATCATTGTTTTATCTGATACACAGATTAAAAATCTGTAGTGTAAAGTGATATATTTACTTCTTGTGTGTGCGCACCTTTGAGTCAGTTTTGGCTCCTGGCAACGGCCTAGACAAGTCCCTGCAGTTTTCTTGGCAAGATTTCAGAAGGGGTTTGCCCTTGCCTGCTTCCTAGGGCTGAGAGAAAGTGACTGGCCCAAGGTCACCCACCTGGCTCTGTGCCTAAGGCGGGATTAGAATTGACAGTCTCCCAGTTTCTAGCCTGATGCCTTCACCACTACACCAGAATGGCTCTCATTTATTTCTTGCCTAAATCTAAATCCAATGAAATCATATATTTTGAGCAGAGAGACAGGTTGCACAAATTAATTCATCATTTTAGAGGACTGTGACACTGCAGAGTCTGACAATTCCTGCACTGTATACTTAAATGTACCCAACTGTAAATGCTGAATAGTGTCTTACAATTATTATTTTTTTTCATAACGTCAGAAATGGAAGCTTGAGATTTACAAAACAGCTGCCCAATCATCAATCCATCATTTTCCAAATTTATTTAGGAAAAAAAAAATAACATGAGCAAAATGAGAGTACTTTCAGTGTTACAAGAAAGTATATAAATGTCTAGCAATAGTCAATCTGATTTTTAAATACAAAATAACGACATGAACACCTAATATACAGGTTTCATTTGAATACATATTTATTAGATAAATATTAGGTTGTCACATCATCTAACTACATACAATTTTGCAAGACTAAAAATCACAATTGTTTTTCTGACCAGTTTTAAAGTATGAAATGATTGAGTTGTACTGTACATACAATGTACAAACAAAGACAAATGGCCATTTTTGCATGTTAATTCAGATTGTACTTTTTTATTCTCCTCTGATCACAATATCAAAAAATTGTACAAAGTATGAATTTGGTTACAATCTTTTTATTATTTAATCCCCTTATTTTCTTCATTATTTTTGTAGCACCCTAAAAATACACAGGTGATAAAGACTAATACACTTAAGCTAATTATTACATGAAGGTAAAACAAAAAAACAAAACAAACACAACTTTTTTTTCACAAAAGATTCAGAGTATATTACAAGAAATGAAACAAAGGTGGAGACTTCACAAATGCTAACGAACAGGATTCATTTTCCACATAAGATGGATCTTCAAGCTTTTTTTTTTTTCCTGTAAAATAAAAACAATACACAATCCAAGGAAAATGAATGCATTTCTGTTCACATGTCTCTATTTTCCATTTACATATGTACAGATGTCCCTTGGAGTCTCCACTGCAGACATTAGTGTGTTTTCATCATCCTATAATAACAATAATAACAATGTCTTGGCAGTAGAACTATAAATCTCTGTGTATTCTTTTCCGAGTAGGTATCTATTGGGAAACTTTTTAAAAACGAAAACTCAAACAAAATGCCCCTCAAACAACAAATTTGAAAAAAAACAAAAAACCCAAAACACTTATGGTAGGAACATAAATCTGCTTTTCAACCCAAACACTCATTAAGGCTATAACCCTATATATGTACTGAGAGTAAGTTGCACTGAATTTACCAGGGCTGACTTTGAAGTAGGAAAGCATAGCACTGAATTCCACACTGCTGAGCAGAGTTTCTCTACATTTCGACATGATGGCAGTGTACTTTGTGTTTTCCAGCCTAAAGCAGCCCAGCGATATGCTGATGAGTGTGAGTGTGTGTGTGTGTGCATGTGCAGGGAAGTACAGGGATGTTCTAGGCTGACTTTGCAAAGCATGCTATTTTGATAAAATCCAAACCTTGTTCACAAACTTAGTTGTATAGATTCCATGTTTGGTAAACACTCTCCCCCTTTTTGCATACCCAGTCAGCGCACCTATCATCTACCTCTGCCCAAAACGCAGACTGAATTCTGTTACTAGAGGAGATAAATCTTCAAATAATGGGAAGCCTTATACTAATAATGTCCTTAATCCTGGATGTCTTCCCTCCTTTTATGCTTCCTAAAGAAGCCACTTGGTATAGGCCTTATTTAGAGCACTCTAAGCCAAACCCTGCCTTCAACATCTGCTTTGAAATAGTTTGGTTTCCAGTTACACAGAAAAGCAAGAGAAAAAACGGATTCAAGTACTAGTTCTGACAGATGTGTGCTTAATGATAAAGGGGCCATTTTATAGAATTAGAGTTGAAATACAACACAGTATATGGCTTAAGATTGGCCTGCAACAAATCGTAACCTGTAAGCTGAAGCCACTCAACAGCCACATCTTCTTCTCTGTTGACAGACATGAAAAATAGCAATTTTACTAAGCCTGTTGCGGGCAACCATACATAGCTGTGGCTGGTGTTCAGTGATCACAAATAATGCTCCGTAATCTAGGGGAAATATATATTTTAAAAAAACAACCTCCTGCGCTTCTCAGAGAGTCTCAATTTTCTGTTTTCATGGTTTGTCACCTACTATGGGATAATCAGCCCCAAGCACTTGGTGTATATCAGACAGCAGGGTCTATGCTGTACCCCTTTCTTTCTTCTCTCCTATGGATGGATATAACATAATTCTCAGAGGTGTTTAAGCAGGAATCTTAAAAAATAACTTATTTGTCTATAAAGCAGGTGATATATGTTATGACAGTCATCATTCTTGGTGATATATATATATATTTTTCTGCGTGGCACCTTAGCACATGGGCCAGATGGATTATATTGATTTGCAAACTGATAGGGGCTAATTTATCAAAAAGAAAAGTAAATGCTTCCTTAGCTCAAGAACCCTTTAGCAGGGAAAAAAAGAAAAAAGCAAAGGAAAAGGCCATTCCCCCCCCACCCCCAGACTATGTATTTTAAAAACACATGTAAAATCAGCTCATGAAAGTGTTGGCTATGATAATCAATGACAATGCTAAAATATTCACAAAAGATATTTACAATATCAATTCTTAAAATAATTGATTTTGCATAATGAACAGCACTTTTTTTTAAAAAAAAAAAGGAGAGGTGGAGAGAAACTAAATGCAGGAACATCTCTACATAAAATGTTTTAAAAATTCAACACTTCTGTTGGAAAAGAATAGAGGAACTAAAACCGCCATTTCCTGTTTAGCTACAGCAAGATGCTGTGGGTTAGCGCATATCTATATATAGAGAGAGATATATAGATATCTATATCTATGCATATATATCTCAAGATGCATATACAGCAGTGGTGGTAGTTCAAAGAACAAATGCTCCAAGAATTTACAAGCATGACTTCAGTGAAGAGAACAAATGCAGAATGGACACACATTTTTTTCTCATGCCATTCACTAAGGAGAAGATGGTAGAACTTACACATTGAAACCAACAAGCCAGAGCACCACTGGCCCAAAGCTGAAAGCCTACTGTTGAAATCAAATATGGAAATATTTTATTTGATTCTGGACAGGGAAAGAAGCAATCGTGGAAGGAAGGAAGGAAGGAAGGAAGGAAGGAAGGAAGGAAGGAAGGAAGGAAGGAAGG